AAAAAAAAAAAAAAGAAACATACCCCCAAAATGAAGTTGTCAGGAGAGGAAAAACTGTATATAGGATAGGCCAGTGGAAAGCAACTGTAAGGATTTAAGAAATTTCTATTTCAGAGTTACACCTATCTTGCTTGTAGTTAATCCTTACCACTTTGTTAGACTTGCTAATGCATTTTAATGGATGAGAAAAGAACAGTGTGTGTGTATGTGTTAAAAGAAATTATAGATTTAAGTATTAATATTTCTATCTTTTTGCCTATTGGGAGCATATGAACTTCTCTTTTGAAATCCCATAAAGTAAAATATTTCAAAATCCAGTGCTATTTGCCCGAGGAGAGGAAAGGAAGAGAAAATAATTTTTTTGGAAAATGGAAAGAAAAGATGTGTAATACATCCTTTTTCTTCTGAGTTTATCATTGACTTCATGGCTTTAACTTTATTGAAGTAATTTTAAATTCTGTAGTAGTATTTAATTAGAAATGTAATTCCACTGAAGTAATTATTGGCTAGTGTATCTACGGAATTGAAATAAATATGGTCTGAGTGTGAAGGTTTTGCTTGCATTGTTCTTACACTGGAATGATCATGGTCAATGGTGCTGTGGAGCACCACACAGTTTGCCTTCTGTCAAGGGAATAAGGACAAACAGAGTTGAAACGTGAGAAACTACATACTCGAGTGCTGGAGATTCAAGGAAAAGGGTATTTGTTTCCTTTGAGTGAGAAGGGGAGAGAATGCAGGACTATATTGATTTTTTTTTTTTTGTGGTTTTGCTTTCAAAATGAAAATAGTAATTGTTTTCAAACTCTAAACACAATAATTTTGCAAATAACTTTATTGGCTGAAAAATTTATGTTTTTATCCCATCACAATTATATTTGAAGAGGGAAAGCCACAGTTAATATCATGTACATATTAAATAAAGTAGTTGTTAAAAAAATGAATATTTCTGCTAGATCAGGACAAAATGGTAGCTGATGATTCAAAATATTTAACACCTTATGTCTTGCAAGCTCACTGCAGAGACTAGTGTTAATAGTTGTGAGGTAAAAACAGATTTGCTGTTGCATTGACCATTGTGATTGTTTAAATACCTTTTTTTTTGAGTCTATTTTTTAGTTATGCATCATAGCCCTGCCAAGCAAACTGTTAACTGCAGTTTCTAATTTCTCTGATTTGTGGTATTTAACAAGAACAAAACTTAGGTTTAGAATTGGTTCCCTTAATCTTTAGTCTGATTTGTAACGGTGTGTTTTTGTTGAGAATGCATAACTTGTGAAAATAGCTCATGCTTGTAGTTGGGAATAGGGCAAACTCATTCCTTGGTACCTGAGCTTTCTAGGGTCAAAGGTGTTACTTTTTCTGTCCTAGTATGGTAAATTAAGCAAGGCATAAGAGAAACTATATGGAAGGGCAGGGGATGGAGCAGAAGAGTTACGAGAGTCCAGGGGTCACGTGAGTGAATGTCTAGTGCAGTTCAAAAAAAAGGTTCTTTTTAATTTTCTTTTAGCAACTAGGTGAATGTCTTTGGATTCATGGCAGAAGTGAGACGTACTAGAGTAAGATTTGATTGAGGGGATGCCTTTTTTCCTTTTTAAGTATGTGAAAAAGTTGTTCTCAGGTCAGATCATTCCTCTTCAATAGTAAGATGCTGTATTTAACTGACGAACTGAAAACCACAGATGATACAGAAGCACTGCTCTTTGCTAACTATTTACATTGAAGTAAAAACACCATTTTGTTCTGAACCTTTTTGTCTTTATTGTCACCCAGACTGTATGAGGTTTGATTGTAACAGAATTAGAATTTACATTTAGATAAAAAAACCTATGCTGCTGTAGGAAAGAGAGTGTTAATGATTCATTAAATTATATGTTTCTGGTTTAGTTAGAAAATAAGGACAACAGCATGATTATTTAGGTTCCGTGGGGTTGTAAAATGTTTTGAGTATGGTCTCTGCACTAGTGTTTTGTGATTGTATGATTAACAGGCACTGAAATAATAGTTTTATTTATTTTGCAGCCTAGAGAGCCCTTCAGCCATACCATATATAGCCTTTTGGAAAATAACCGTACTATAGGAAAAATAATCTTGGAATACACATTGACTTTAATGCTGATATATTGGGTCTCAAAATTACTTTTATTAAAGGGACATGGGAGTTTGGATTTGAGGCATATTTACCCTGGGCAAGTAGAAGCAATTATAAGTAATAGTAACAGAAAATCAAATATCACAATGTTACTTTTTACTCTGGATTCTGTCTCTTGTACTGAATAGTTCTATGATATCAGTAGGTCATGAAAACGTTTTAAAGCAAAATATCTGCATAGTTGATCACTCACTGTGGATAAGCAGTGATAAGCCACTAATATTCAGTGGAAGAAGGGCAGTGACAGAAGGAAGTAAAGAACTATGAGCATGTGAGAGAGGTAATAGCTTGGTTTGGCCAGCTGCAGCTGTGACATGCCTGACCTCAGTGTGGCCATGCATCACACCTGAGTGATCAAAGAGGGTACCCTCCCCAGCTGTTGGTTCTGTCCCACAGCAGGAGTCATTGCATGGGACATGCAGCTGACCCAAACTCCAAATGTAAAAGTTTACCACTTCAGCATGTTAAACTAATAATGCCAATTTTAATTTATTGTCATACTTGATCGCTGCATATGAGATGTTCTGGGAGCTGCTGTGAGTTCTCTTCATGTTGCTGTAGAACTGAAAACACTGGGGGGAGGGGGGGCGCGGGGCAGGGCAGAGTTTGTACCTGCTTGAACCTTCACGATGCACCCACTGTCACATCTTTCCTGAGGTTCACCCATTAATGTGGAGCTTGCAGAGGTGAATACAGTTCCTTGCTAATCTCACTACTCTAAGCAGAGTCTTGGAGCCACCTCGTGATGTAATAGTTTTTCACTAATGAAATGTGGAGGTATAACATAAAAATATAGAGTTTATTTTGATCCTTCTTTTATTCTAAGCAGCCTTTTGTAGTGTCTATGTAGTTGGACTTCAGCTGGTAGTGAGCTGAGTTGCAGCTATGTGTACTCTGTTTAATCAATTCTTTTAAAGCAG